CAGTGCAGTTGCTTAGTTCACAGGTATCAGTATATATAGTTAGTCAGGGTGAGAATCTTTCCAATTAACTGCTAGATTCAAAAATCTTCTGGAGATTCTTAGGATCACTGCCTTGCCCATCTTTTACATATAACTATATGGCTTGTCACTGTCATGTTTCCTAGCTCTTCTCCTTTCCCTCTCTTAATTAGTTAGTCCTCGAGTTCCTGCTTTCCTTTTACTTGTATTATACCTTTCTATTTATATTTCTTCTTTTGAGTTCTTATACTAGGGAAAGTATACTATGTTTAGTGTACCTAGGGGTGGGGCCAGCACATCATGCTGTGCCAGGGATCAAACCCTGGTCCCTGCACTTGCCTAAGCAGGTACTTAGTCTGCTGAGTTATCTCACCAGCCCTCACTGTATTTTGATAATATCTCATAGAGACATTCATGAAAAAGGACTGTCAAAACTGCTTCAGAAAGTGGCAAGAATGAAGCCAAGTATGGTGATACACACCTGCAACCCCAACATTCAGGAAACCAAGGCAGGAGAATCACTGTGAGTTCAAGGCCAGCCTCTATTTACTGTCAGTTCAAAGCTAGCCTAGACTACACAGCAATATCCTGTCTCAAAGCAGTTGCCTTGTTTGTTTTTGGTCTTTTTTTATTTTATTGTATTTTTTTGGTTGAATTGTTTTTTAGGGGAGGTTTTTTTTTTGTTTTTGGTGCTGAAGATCCAACCCAGGGCTTCCAGCCTGCTAGGCAAGTGTTCTACCACTGAGCCAAATCCCCGGCCCTTCCTGTCTCAAAACAAAACAAAATAAATAATAAAAAAGTATCAAAAATGACAGGATAAAAAAAGATAGGATAAGTGTGTTCAAAGTGAGGGAGTATATTTTGAGGGAGATTTAATGGTAATGTGTCTTGTACTGTAATTTTATTTTATTTCTTTTTTTTGTGAAACCGAGGATTGAACTCAGGCCCTCGCGCTTGCCAAGGAAGTGCTTATTACACTCAGCCATCTCCCCGGCCCCTTCGTATTATAATTTTAAAAATGTAAATGCATACCATAGTATTTGACTAACTCTTGTATAACTTGTTTTTATTTAAAATAAAACCCTCAAAGACCACTGAAGGCTACCAAATTAGAAGACTTGGAAGAAAACAGAGCTGAATCCCTTTTTTTTTTTTTTTTTTTTTGCGGTACCAGGGATTGAACTCAGGACCCTGCACTTGCCAGGCAATGAATCCAAGGGATTCTTCAGGTGGGGTCAATTAAGTCCAAAGATATTACTAGCAACTGCAACAGAACTGGGACAGAAGACTTTTCCCTAACTATGGCAGCTTCTCTAAGGGGAGATGGCTCTCTTTCCCTTTTGTCCACAGCAGAACATTTATGTGAGCCAGGTAAAGTCAGTACAGTTGCAGATGAAAAAACCCAAAGGCTCACAAAAACCACAGCAAAACAGATTGCACACTGTGGACTCTCAGAGGGGTTGGGTCAAAGGCCCTTGACATAAAAATGTGTAACACCTGTATCTGGTACAGCAGCAATTGTGGGGACTCTGACTTGTAACCAGCTCTCAGAGAAATTACAATCTGGGTAAAATACAAGGGCTTAACTGTTTTTTTCTTTTGAGTGAGTAAATTCAGATGAAAATCAGGAAATCAAGAGATTACTGCATAAATTCAGTGACACCATCATGATCATTTTCACTACAAACATTGTTCCCTAGCACATTTTTCCTACCTGTCCCCTGACAAATTTGCTCATCCCCTGACAAATTTTCTCTTCCCCTTTTCCCAGTTCTGTTTCTGCACCTGCAAGACTTGACAATGACCTTCAACCTGCAGACAAAGAGTGACACGTACACTTGTATGCTCACCCACCTCCTTGGTCTCCCATAGTTGCTTTGGCAATGGCTTCGGGACATTTAGCAGATTCTCCTCTTTCAATGGGCCAGGGAAAGGCACTACTAAAAGGGGAGAAAACAGTGTTATAAGGGAGCCATCTTACCTTTGGCCAAATAAATTATCTGTGTAAAAATGATTTGCTTAGGGACATTTGCTGGCCAACTGCTGGGGAAGGTGCTCTGAGCATCATGGTGCAGGTACAGAGATAAATAAGACGTGGACCCAACCTGTAAGGAAGTTATAGCCCAGCCTGGGCCTGAGGGCAACACCACAGCCACATGAAGTCAGGGGATTCTCAGAAGGCCACAGTGTTGTGCCATGCTGGTGAAGGCAGCAAGAACTCAGGAGGCCCTGGAACCTGGGCACTCAGGCAGTCTCTTAGAGGCACAGGAAAGGGCATCCCAAGGGAACAGGAAATAAAAACAAAGCTTAGAGACAGAGGAAGTTGTGGGCAGCTATGAATACACCAGTGCTTTTCACTTGCAGGACTGGCCAGGGAGAGGGGATGGTGGGAATGAAATGTAAAAAGTGAGGCCAGAACAATGAGGGCTCTACAGGCTGCAGTGGGGTATGAGGAGACTCAGGGATCGAGGAGAGATTCAAGGAGGGAAGGGAGAATGAAGGAGCAGGCAGAAAAGCCCCAGTGGAGCTACTCAGGGATGGGTGAGGATGGGGAATTAAAGGAACCGATACCCAGTGGACTGGAGGCTGTGGAGCTGAGAGGGCCCCAGCTTTAACACTGAGGTTAAACACAGATGCTGAGCTAAGCCATAAACGAGTGAAAGCTTTTTGTTGTAGAAATGAACCAGAAGACAAGAGCTGGATCTGGGATCAGGAGGGGATCCAGCACCAGACACAGACTCTGCAGATCTACGAACACTATTAGGGCCCAGAGGCCACATAGCCCCAGTGTGACTGTCATGCCTGTCCTGTCCTAGCTCCATGCATGGAGAAGTCACTTAAAACAGGGACCAGAACTTCTGAGTAAATTCTGAGAAAGGGACTTGAAACAAATGCTCTAAAATAAGTTTACTGTCTATATAAATAGAATGTGGAATACAACTATAATTGTGGACTGCTAGCATGAATGAAGTGTGGATGGGGGACATTTTCTTGGATAGCACCTTAAGAGCCCAACACAGTACTTTTCACAGGCAACATGCCCAGTGTCATCCTGAAAAGTATTACTTAGGCTATATTTCTAGGCTTTCTTGCTGTGCCCAGGTATCTCTCAATCCTGACTGTCAAACCACTCTCTTGTTCTGTACTGGCAAGATTGGAACCCAAGGCCTCAAGAACCACACGCTCCACCACTAAGCTACACCCCAGTCTGAAATACTCTCTTTTAAATACCTTATTTTGTCTTTTTTTTTCCTTCCAATGTTATTAATGGTCTAATCATGAATAAAAACTACTTCAAAAATGTAAAACCTGGGCCAGCCATATAGCTCAGCGGACTAAAGCCCACAGGGTTCTATCTCCATAGTGCTGTGCTGCTCCTGCCCCCAGGGCATGCTGAGATGGCGAATGAGACTCAGAGTAGTGGTGCACATCTGTAATCCTAGCGCTTGGGATGCTGAAAGCAGGAGAATCACTATGAGTATGATCTGTGTAGTGAGACCCTGTACTTAAAAAAAAAAAAGTAAAACCCATGCAAAGCCTTGCTTCACTTGCCATGGTGGCAGGTGTGTGTGTGTGCGTGCACGCAAAGTAGTGCCTTGGAGATGTAGGTCCTACAGTTGACTCTCTGAGTTGGAGCAAGAATAACAGGCTCTGAGAGTCTGCTCAAACCAACTGTTATAGTTTGTGTCTAGATACACTCATAAAGTTTTCAGTGGTGGCTGAATCTAGAGTGTGTGACTGATTTATAGTTCAATGCTGGGATTAAGGATATTCACTCATCCTAGGGAGTGTAGCCTTCGTACAATATAAAAAACAAAAAAAGGCTTGCTCTCTCTCTCTTTTTTTGTCTCTCTCTCTCCCTTTCTCCTTCCCTCCCTCTCTTCCCTTGTTTGCTTTTGCTGTCTTCTGCCACCATGAACTGCTTCTTCTATGGAATGCTCCTATGCCAAGTCATCCTGCCTTGGATCCAGTCAATTATGGACTAAAATGTCCACAAACTATGAGCTAAATAATATCTTTCGCTTTTTAACTTTGGGCGTCAGGTATTTTGTCCTAGCCATGAAAAAAGTAACTAAGATACTAACAGAATGGGAGACCATGAAGAGAAAAGCACTCTGGGCTCAGGATGCCATTCAGTGGTACAGTACTTGCCTGGCATGCTCAAGGCCCTGGGTTCAATCTCCAGGAATGAATGGAAAAAAAGAAGAGTAGAAAAGGGCCCTATAAAATAATTCTAGATGCCATGAAAATTTTCAAGGGCTGAGTTGGCAGTAGCTTCACAACTCAGGGCTGTTTCTCAAAAGACCTTGGTTACACGAATATGGTTGGGACAGGCTCCAGCAGCTTAATAGGAGTTGTTTTCTTTGAAAGGTTAATTGTTTTTAGTTTCTTCTCATATCTGAGATTTCTTTTTTTTTTGTTTGTTTGTTTGTTTGTTGATACATTTAATGTCAACATTTGGGGCAATTTTTAATATACTACAAAAATGACATTAATAACACCTCTATATAATAATATTTAAAATAAGAAAAATGGAACCCTTTTATACCATAGTTTCAAAAACTATTCTTTTTTTTTTTTGAGATGCCTAAGAAACTTTATTTTTTATTTTTTTTTCTTTTCAAAGTTTTAATGATAAACATATAGCAATGAGACAGTTTCAAATCAAATCGAAAGTACAGTTTCAACAAATAATACACTGCATACATTCTTCTCAGTGGTTAATTGCTGTACTATCTGAGATTTCTTGAGAATTCTTCAAAGAATTCACTGGGGAAATGCAAATGACAGTGAAACATTTCTTTATTTCTGTCCTAGTAGATTAGCTGTTTATTGATGTCTCAACATTTTATGATTCTATTCAGTTAAAATGGTTTGCTTAGAAGTAGAATATAGAGAACAGTGACAAACAGTGTCTCTTCTGTAAGATGTTCCTCATTTATCATATTCCTAGGAGGCTTATCTCTGTGACATAAACCTCACTTAGCTGTTCAGTTTCAGATTATGAAAATTAAATTTCAACATAAAAAGATTTAGGGAAAAGGAAACAGTGCCCAGTACTGAATGAATAAACAGTACTGGATCCTCATTTGTCAATGACTTTGAGTATCATTTTGGCAGATCTCCAACATGATTTTAATTGGCTTTATAAAGCTCAGCACCTTCTGAAAATTGTAATTCCATTTTGCATTCAATATGCATTCTTCTTGCACTGTTTATTTAAATTCATCAATTACTGACTTACAAAGGTTTTCTCAGTAGGCAGAGGCAGTGTTGTGGAAAGAAGGATACTGGGTTAACTAAGTATTTAAGTGACTGATCCATTCATATTTTCATATGGCTACAACTTTTGCTCCCCTGTACAACCATGTGAGACTGGAGACTGGGATAACAAGGAACCTTTGTAACCTAATCACTCATTTCCTTTCTCGTGGCCCTGATCGTGGTTAGTCTTGTTTCTAGGGCAGAAAAATAATCTAATCAGCAGCTGTCAATCTTCTGGAAAGTTCTAAAACATGAATTAGGCTGTTCAGAGAAGGTTATGCCCAGATCAGCACCCCACCCTGACATAGGTAAGCAAAATCAGCTCCTACCTTCCCTGGGCCCATCATTTTCCCCATCACAGAAACCTACAGGAAAGAATAAAACACTGTTACATGCTTTCATTTGCATTTATTCATGAATTCATAATTTTCTGACTTGAAAAAGGCTTTTGAAATTTGAAAGCAGTTTTGATACATCAAAGTTCATTCAAGGTACTTTTGTATTTGTACACCAAAAGTAGATGTAGTTATTTTGAGTCTAAAGTTGGTGCCAGGGCTGGCCCAATAGCTCAGAGGACTAAAGTACCTGCTTAGGCTGAGCACAGTGGCCTGGGTTCGATCCTCAGCATGCTGTGCCACCCCCCCCCCCCGGGCTTGCTAAAACCAGTGATTGAGACTGGGCGTGGTAGCGCATGGCCTGTAATCCCAGCGCTTGGTAGGCTGAAAATAGGAGAATCATTACAAGTCCGATCTACATAGTGAGACCCTATATATCCTGTAGATCCTGTCCTAAATTTTAAAAAATGGAAATAAAGTTGGTGCTAATCTGCTTTTCTTTCTCTTTAAAACTGTCCATCTTAAATTTCCTTACTGCCTCTGTCTGGAGAGAAGAATAATTTCTTCTTTCTTTTTTTCCTTTTGGTGGAACTGGGGATTGAACTCAGGCCCTTGTGCCTGCCAGGCAAGCAGTTATTCTACTAAGCTATCTCCCTAGCCTGAGAAGAATAATTTCACCAAAGCCGAAGAACCTGTCTTCAAATCACAGAGCACAGAAGTAGAACCTAAATACTCCTCCTACTGCTGTTTCCTGGGGAAAGCCAGAGCCACTGTGGATAGCATGGAACAGGCTGGCAGCTCCATGCTGGAGGCTATTTCCTGCTACTTATCTGTATTTTGCTCAGTCAGGTGGTGTATCTGGATTCCAAGTTGGTTTAAAGGGCATATGTGATAACTATTCACAAAGTTTTTAAAAATTTGACTTGGCAGAAGTTCTGGCTGAACAAAGAATATTTAATCCATAAAATATCCTACAGATGACGAAGTATAGAATTTCCTATCCCTCTAAATTAAAACTAAGGAACTGAACCAAAAATATTATATCTTACCATGCTCCTTAGGTCACCCATTACCCCAAATGAGAACAGAATCAGGTCAAAATTTTAAGTATAAGCCTTTAAATATAACTTACAGTTTAGACAAATTTCTTGGTAAACTTAAGCTATAGATTAACCTCATCAGCCCATAAAAATTAAATACTATCATCTAATAATTTTCCATCCAACATATATTTACTAAGTTCCTATCCTAAGTGTGAGTAGGGGGCAGGTAAACCAGGGTAGAAGAAAAGATGGACACGACAGCAAATTCCATAATGCAGGCAGAAGACAAAGTCTTCATAGTGCCTTGAGCAGATCCATAAAGGGAAGCACACCTCCAAAGCCAGAGTTTCTCCTGCGTCCACATAAACAGAATCTAAACAGTGATCGAAAAGTGTATTTTAGTACATATAAAGACCATTTGGGCACGCTTGATAAACTGCAGATTCTTGGATCCAATTCTCAAAGATACTGACTCAGAAGGTATGGGAACTGGCAGAGGAATCTATACCTCTAATAACCACCTCTGGACCTCTGCCTCAGACACCTAGGCCTGCTCTTCTGAGAGACTTGGATAAGGCTGTGGCTTGGGCTGTGTGAACAGGGGAACATTAGAAAGCTGGGAAGCAAGGTACACAGAGACAAAAGATGTGGCTCTACAGTCAGCACTGTCCAAATGAGAGGAAAGAAATTCCCAATTCATATTTTAGCTTTTTGGGAAAGAGCAGGGAAGTTGACCATTCTGATCAGTAAAATGTGATTATACTATTTAAATATAAAAACTAAACAGTCTGACATGGTATGTTGAAGCATCTCCTCATCATCAAGACCACTCTAGGTCTAATCACTAAATCCAGAGTAGCCTTGCAACATGGAGACTCAACCTAGGACCACCATGTGAAACTGCCCAGAGGATGTCCACCTCCTGTGACATCCATTAGTGTCCCTTCTCATCAGACTGGACAGAAGACAAGTATGGAACTTGTGGCAGGCACTACAGCACAGGGGGAAAGGGCATACAGCCAGTGTTACTGTTTGCTTACTATGTGCCAGGCACTTCACACAGATGGCCTCATGTTAACCTATGGGTGGGCACTGTTATCATGGCCAAGACCATACTGCTAGTTCTAGGGCTAGACCTTTGGTCTGAGTATCTTCAGAGTGGCCACATCCCTAACCAATTTGCTATACCCAGAGGGACTGAGAAAACTGGAGATAAGAGGGCAAGGGATACCTCAGTGAAAAGACAGGAGGAGGAGGAAGAAGAAGAAGAGGAGGAGTAGTGGAGAAGAGAGGAAGATGTGTGTGGCAGCGAGGGCACAGTATGGCTATAACAAAAGATGGACAGGATGGGAGGCAAAAAGGGGTGGAGTGGACTGGGAATCTGCCATGAGGTGGAGAGTCCCGGTCTGAGTCACAGTTAAACTTGCCAGGCTGTTCTTGCAATAGATGTGCGACAGACAGAAAGAGAAAAGCATCAAGTCACGGAGACCAGGTAGAAAAATTAATGAAATGGTCAGGCAAAAAGGAACGAAGTAGGTGGCAATGAGGCAGATTAGCGAAAGCAGAATGTGGCTACACTGGGGGAATAAGGGCCAGGGAATGAGGGTAATTAAGAATAACCCTGAAATTATGCTTCACACACCAGGGAATGGAGGTGTGATAACTGATGTGACATTAAGCTAGCACATACTCAAAACATTCAAGTTAGATTTTTCCTACTAGACTAAAAAATACCAGAAGATACAACTATAAATAAAGAGTTAAAAAACAAAAAAGGAACAAGTTGTGACTGAATATTTGGAAACAGAAAATTAATTCACATTGCTCCCATGGGGGGGGGGGAATGGGACAAGGATGACCAAGGTCAAATCTGTGTTCCAGGAAAATAGTGCTATAGAGGGCCAACCTAGCTGAGTATATCTGAGACCACATTCCTCCTATGCTGTCCCCTGCCTGGTGGGTCTAAAATAACTCCTTGATGCTAAGTGTAGGAGGAGGTAAGGGGTGGGTCCCTTCACTAGAATATGTCCTGGAAGAAACTCTGGGATTTCAGCCACTCTGTCCTGGGCCTTCCTGCCATTCCCAGTGACATCTTTAGAACTAGGGTGCTTATGCCAGTGAAACAAGGGCCCTTAACAGACCCACATCTCTTAGAGTTATTTGTATTTTAAATCTCTCCCTTGACTCTGCAGGCCAAAGTTTAGTGCAGGTTAGGAGGTCATGGAGGTACTTGTCCCCACCTCCAAAGGAGGAGCAGGGACTGCAGACCCCACAAGATGATAGCACCCACCACTCTAAATCGAGAGGAGACTCTTCCCCCTTCAGCCCCAGGCTGTGGGACAGGCTTGCACATCTGAGTGTCTACTAAACGACACTTGAAAAAGCACACACTGCCAGGAAAATAATCAATGTTTCTCTTTATAATGGTTCTTGGATAGTTAAACAAGGAAAGAAAAATTATAAGAATCTGGTTTGGTTGTAGAAATTTATTTGTCATTTATAACTCCTTATCATTCATGTTTAATTGTTGTGTGACTTAATAACCATTATTAAAAAATTACTAAACATGTATTAAATTAATAACTTTATTTTCTAGGGACACAGACTTCTGCTCACTGCTCCTGTGGTTCAGCTGTGAGCTGATGCTCCCTTGTCATCACTCCCAACAGTAACAATAGTGGTGCAGAATTACACCACTACGCCAGAGGAACGATTCCCAGGAAAGCACAGTTGTTATTGCTCTTCCTCCAGAACCTAGATCTGGGCTTCCACTGTAATTTCCCATCACTTTTTAAATCTTTATTTGGTTGGTCTTATAACAAGAATTTTTTTTTGTGAAGCTAGTTAGTATTTTTAAAATAAAAAAAAATCCAAAAGGAAAGAAAATGAAAAACTTTAACGAATTACAGGAGGAAAATATATAAAGCTATTTAAAATAGCTCCCACCAACAAATATAATTCTCCATAAATAATTCCCATCCTTGGAGACTTGAATAATATTTTAAACACACTAACTTTCCCATGTAAACACATCCATATTTGGGCGTGTTTCTGAGTTCTGCAATCCTTGTAGGGGAAGAGCACACTGGCACATGGACCGATATCTGAGCACATCTGGGTTGGACATTTCCATGGATGTCAGACTCGGACTTGTACTGATCCTCCTGTCTTCAGCCTCCCCAGCTCTGGGATTTCAGTGTACCACCATGCCCAGTCTCCATGGCTGTTTCAGCACACCCAGGGGTGGCCGGTTTGACATGTGGTGCCAGAGATCGAACCCCCGTCGATTTGCCTAAGTAAGCTCTTAGTCCACTAAGCTATCTCACCAGCCCTCGACCTGACAATTTCTGTTGATTTGCAAAGGAAAAGTCACCAAGATTTTTGGGTCACCTAGGGACTCTGGTTTAGGGTTTCTTCCCCTGCCCTTCCCCCTCTTTTTTCTTTGCTTTTGTTTTTGGAGATGGTGTCACTATGTAGTTCAGGCTGGCTTTGAAGTCACTAGGTAACCCTGGTTAGCCTTGAACTCATAGCAATCCTACTGCCCCAGTCTCAAGAGTTCTGGGATTACAGGTGTGGACTACCACACCCTGAAAAATCTTCTTCCTTTCTTAATCTTCTGTCTGCCTGGATCAACATTTATGTTCCTTCACTTTTTTTTTTTTTTTTCTTTTGTACTGGGGATCTAACTCAGGACCTTGTACTTGCCAAGCAGGTGCTTGTGCCACTGAGCTATACTACTGGCCTCCATTTTTCTTATTCATCCTCATACCTTCTGATATTTCTTATCTCTTCCCTCAGAGGCTACACCACTCAGCATAAATACTTTAGGTAACCACCTTAGCAAGCCTCAAAGACTCCTTAAGCCACTACTGGTTCCCTTGTTCTGTCTAGGCTTCTGCTTCCTTCTGAAGCCCTATCGCACCTGTAGACACCTCCACTGAGCACAGGCCCTGAGTTGCCGGGCTTTGTATATGTGCTCCCCTTCCCAGAGCCTGCAGCCGACCTGCTTTGTCCTCCCACACACCCACCTCTATAAGCAGTGAGCTCTACCCCATGTCTGATTCTGATACCTCTACCCCCATATTCTCAAAGCCTCACCTATGCAGGAAAGATGGGCAGAGGCCCCCACCCAATGCTGAAAGCTTTCAGACTCCACAAGCAAAGTCTACTCTGGAAACATATAAATCATATAAGTGAATGGAGTCCTCCCTGAACTGCACCCAGGGAACAAATACAATAGCTGTTACCATCAAACCCCATCCTTCCACACACAAGGAAAAGATACCATGAATGTTTCCTTAGCAAAGAACAGATATTAGACTTTAAATAGTCCAAGAAGTAAAGAAAACCAGAAAAACTGGTATCTAGGTCAAAGAGTCTCAATTCTTCTGGGAGTCAATCGATATATGGAATAGGTAACTCCAGACTCTTGTCTTTTCTAGTTTATAAACACCAGAAAGGCAGGCTTAGAAGGCCTCTGGTTTCAGGTGCATGCTAGACATCAGCACTCAGAGTGTTTTTTAGCAAGATCTCCATACATGTAAGCCACTGTATGACATCCTTGTATTTCTCCATCAATGAAGGCTCCTCTGTGCCATGCACTATGTTAGGTATCAAAGAAAACAAGACAAGTAGTTAAGAAGCTGCCTTTAAGAAATCTACTCTAGTCAGGCATAAAGTGCAAACCTATAATCCTAGCACTCAAGGAGGCTGAGGCAGGAAGATCCCAAGTTTTAGCCCAGTTTAGATAATTTAGCAAGATCCTGTCTCAAAATAAAAGATAAATGTGGCTGAGGATAAAACTTCAGTGTCCTAGGGGCCGGGGAGATAGCTCAGTGGAATAAGTGCTTGCCTGGCAAAGTCAAGGTCCTGAGTTTAATCCCTGGTACTATCAATCAATCAATCAATCAATCAAAACTTCAGTGTCCTTGGGTTCAATTTCCCAGTTTAAAAAAAAACAAACACAACAAAAACTACCCTAAACAAAGAGAAAGAAATACATCTCCATAAGGAAGCAGTCAAGTATGGCAGATCATAAGAGTACATGCACAGTAGTAGTTGGAACACAGTAGTTTGAATCAACACAGGGTGAAAGGCCAGAGGGACAGAAACATGGATATCAGCTGAGGCTGACAGACCCACAGGGTATTGGCCAGATAGGGTAGGACTGAGTTATGATAAGAAGAGATGCCAATAGGCTGGAAGAGCAATAGAACCCAAGTGGTTCACACAGCTGAAGAGCAGGAAGAGAGGAGCGAGGGCCTAAATTCTAAGGCACACATTGCTCCTAGAGGACTGTACTCCTTAAGTTGAGAGGTAGCACTGAGTATCTCAACAGGAGAATGAGAGGTGCAGATCCAGGTTTACTCTGGAAACAGATGGCAGGAGGCTGCCTTCCTTCCACTCCTCTTACTCCTGGCCCTGTTCCACTGCATCCCTCAAGCCCAAGGTAGACGGGATGGTGCCACCTCTCCTCCACTCTGTTCTGTACCCCCAATCTCCTGGAGAACAGACCCCACACTGGCATGTGCTACCTCATTCTGAAGCTCAGTCATAACCGCTCCATGGACCCACAAAGAGGAGCATTTTCCTGTTGCCTACCCTGCGGAACCCACCAAAAAACTGGAGGGGGGGGGGGAATGAGACTGGAAAGGGAGACAGTAAGGAAGCCACTATGAATGTCTCCATGAAGGGTGATGAACATGGGCAGGGAGGAAGTGTGAAGGCCAGATATGCCCACAAGGGAGTGCTCTCGCCAGGGAAGAACCTGGGAAGACACATCCTAATCTCACCTCAAATGCACACACTCCCCTGCCCTGGACTTTTCTCCTAAAGCCCTCACAGTGAAGAAGGTCATGTTCTCCATAAGCTTTGCTCTCTGGAGTGCTGTAGGCAGGGACTGTGCATCTTACCCATGTATGGGCCAGGCCAGGCTGATGGGCCCCCTCCTCCATAGGGGTCCTGGGGCTTGGTGCTCAGCGCACTTGTGTGAAGAGCAGAGTCGGAATTGGTCCTAAGGGGAAAGGAGAGATCTGGCTGAAAATCCATTTCCGCAGTGACATGCAGCATTCTTTGCTGAGTATTACCCATAGGAAAGGCGGCAAGAATGGGGATTTGCAATCATCCACGCAAAGGGGAGGGACCCACCTGAAGTCCCTTATGCACAAGGTCACTATACCCAAGGAAGACTGGTTTATACTCAGATAGCCTGACACTGAAGCAGATGGCACGGTGACTGTGACAGCTAAATGTGATATGTCAACCTAGATAGATTAAGAATTACCCAGCAAATTAGTAGAAAAGTGGTGGGTGTGTCTGAGGGTGACTGACAGGGACACTGCAAGCTTTGAAGGGAATGGGGCTGGTGAGATGGCTCAGTGGTCTAAAGCACCTACTTAGAACAAGCTAAGCTGAGCAAAGCACAGGAACTGCAGTTCAATCCCCCAGCACCACATGCCAGCCAGCCCCGCCCCCTGGTGGGCTGAGCTGGACACACACACAAAATAAATAAATAAATAAACAAAATTAAAAAAAAAAAAAAAAAAAGCTTCGAAGGGAAGACCCATCCTGAATGTGGGTGATGACAACCAACAGGCTTATAGCTGGGATGACAGGTGGCCATTCTGCATTCTTCTGCTTGATTCTACAGGCACCCGCTGTGAGCCTACATTTTTTATATATATTAAATCTGTGAATTCTAGCTAATAGTAATGATCTATTTCATCGTGGAGGGCCCTGGAATTATGCCTTCCCTATGGGACCTCCCTTTTCTTCTTCACAAGTCAAGATGGCTGTGGCCAGTATGTTTGGTGGCTATATCAGGTTTTCTACACCTGAGAATACCTGGTCCTATGGAAAAGACCTTCCAGAGTGATGGTTCTCAAACACTTCCAGGAAAATGCAACATCAAGATTATTTTCAAAATAACACCACAATGTTCCTTGTGCTCCCCCCAGCCCTGGGTACCCACAGCACACTGGGGTCTGACCTCCAGTATCCACATAGCTGATGCCACTCTAGACTAAGAGTGGAGCAGAGAAGCCTTCAGGTGCTTTGGAAAACAATGGTGTGAAACCTATTCTTGGTTTCTTAAAAAATAAAATTATGCATCTTTAGCAGACACACCTAAATGTAGCACCAGCACCTCTGCAGATTCAAGGACACTCAGGTGCACATTAGTCAAATGCAGAGACAACAGATCAAGTGTGGGTACAGATTGATATTAGACCATAAGGAGTTACAGTTAATTTTGTAAAGTGTAATAATGGCATTCTGGTTATGTTTTCTTTTTATTTTTCTATTTTTCATTTTTTATGTATTTAGTACAGGGTCTCATTACACAGATCAGACTTGTAGTGATCCTTCCTGTTTTTCAGCCTTCCAAGCGCTGGGATTACAGGCACACACCACCATGCCCAGTCTCAGTCGCTGTCTCAGCATGCCCCGGGGGGCAGGGCTGGCACAGTAGGCTGGGGATTGAAACCCCGGCCCCTGCGTCTTCCTAAGCAGGTATTTTAATCTGCTGGGCTATAAGGCCGGCCCTAAGTTTTCCTTTTGAAGGCTCTCATTAGTGTTGTACTGTTAGAGACACTTGCAGGTGAAATACATTGTGGAATTACAGTGTGAGGTAGGGGCAAAGAAGAAACAAGACTGGTAGAATGGAGGTCAAACTGAAGCTAAGTGACAGGCCCAAGGGGCTTTTCACAACCTTTTGTCTTTTGTGTATATTTAAAATTCTGTACTATGAAGTTTTTTTTATTTTTATTTTTTTTTCTGTATTTAAGACAGGATCTACAGGGTCTTACTATGTAGATTTGACTCATAGTGATCCTCCTGTTTTCAGCCTCCCAAGCACTGGGATTACAGGTGTGCACCACCACACCCAATCTCAATTGCCATCTCAGTGTGCCCCAAGGGCAGGACTGGCACAGCAGGCCGGGGATCGAACCCTGGCTGCTGTGCTTTGTCTCAGCAGGCACTTTAGTCTGCTGAACTATCAGGCTGGCCCACTATTAAGTTCTTGGAAGGTTTTTTTAAAATACCCAATCTCTTTACATATCAGTTCAGAAGCCCTGAACAAATCATTTAGCCTCATCAAACAGAAAATGACATTCATTTCTATAGTGTATTATAGGACTAAAAAAACTGATGCATGGGGCCGGGGGGATAGCTCAGTAGAATGAGCACTTGCCTGGCAAGCACAAGGGCCTGAGTTCAATCCCCAGTTCTGCAAAATAAAAATAAAAATAAAAAAACTGATGCAGGAAGAACACTTCCTCCTGGAGTGTGACCCAACATGATCATGAGAACAGCTGATGCTTACTGAACACTAACGCTTTCCATGTATTATCTCATTCAGTCCTCACAACTAGCCCATGATGGACATGATTATCTCCATTTTTCAGATGAGCAAAACTAAGGCATATAAATGTTCAATCTGTTCAAGGTCATGGTAAGAGGCAACCCTGGAGATCATACTCCAGGCCTCATGTTCTTATGCTGTGCCATACTGGGCTCTGCACACCAGTAAATGGGGGTTTGTTGTTAACATTCTACACAAACATTATTGACAAACACACTTGGAAGCTGGACACACATCCAGAATATCAGGAAAATAAATTTACTTTTATTGGAAATGGCCCATGTACCTGTTAAGAGCAGATGTTAATCTGAACCCAGGATGCTTTTCTTCTTTCCAAAGAGGCTGCTGTCTTTAGAAACCAGAACAACATAAAAGGAAAAAATGTTCAATACACAGGAGCCAAAGAAGACCTCAGATCTGAATCTGTGAACTGGCTCTTCTACTCATCTAGCTGCCTGACCTCAGAGTCACTGAAAAACAATCTATGCCTTGCTGATTTTGCTCTTCATTGTTAAAATGAGGCCAGACAAAATGATTTCTCAGGCCTGGCATCTCTCATTTCCAGGATAATTACCACAAACCCTAAGAACAGGGTTACTTAGCTGGGTTTGCAGGAGTTAACAAATGGGCAAATAAGCACCTTTGAATGCCTTTTGAAATTGGCCAAACCTCTGACTTCTCTCAAGGGGATTTGAGGTTTTAGACCAGATGTGTCAAAAATTACTCCCAATATGTATCTTAAGTTCCTTGTCAACCTGGATGCAAGAATTTTGATACTTTTTCTTGGCTATACATAAGAGAGTCATCAGTTTAAAACAATACTTTTTTCTGATTTAAGATAAAATATTGTAAAAAAAAAAAAAAGATAAAATATTGTATTTATCCTAAAAACTTGAGTGTCAGGATTCCTGAGGATAGCTAAAAACCTACTTGAGGTAGGGGCTCTTTTTCATTTCTGTGCCCCTCCCCAGGCCAGACTGCATTATCTGCAGTAAGTACTCATAAGTGCTCAGTCAGTATTTGCCCAGACAATGGAAGGAGAAAAGATCTCAACCAAGAGACTTGAGGGTTCCTGATAGATAAATCATAGATACGCACAAATCTGATCATGTGATCTTAAAATGATACCACACATGTAACAATGCAGTAGTTCTTTTCAGTTAATTTCATAATCTTTCATCCTATAGATGAAAGATTATGAAATCTTCAAAAGAAGTCAAAGAGACTCTAAATCAAACACACTGCATGAATACCACTTTAGGAGCCTTTCATTCCTTGTAGCAGGTTTTTAACACATCCTGAGAAAAGGGGTTTATTTCTCCATGTCTCAAATATGTATCAAATCAAAGCATGCTGTTGGTAAATGTATTCCAACTGTGTTTCTGTTTGGTTTAAGTATGAAGATCTAGATTTACTTAAGTAAGTTTTCACTTTGTACTTTCATACAAGCCCATGATAATACATAGAAAAACTTAAATTTTAAGCAGATTGTGTTTTATATTAAAAATTTCTAAAACAACAGTCAAGGTAGATAAAGTAAAACCATAATAGAAAAAAGCTCATATCTTTCAAGATATCTCAAGATATATAGCTTGCTTACCTTGGCCAACTCTCATCTAGGGGCTGTGAAGAATAATTGGCTCCAAATGTGCTACCATCAAAGTAGAATTTTTAATAAAGGAAAAATAAAATTAATGGAAACTTGAAGCAGAATTAAGAGGCTAAAATTGTGAAGAGTTAGACAACTGAGGTCTGGCCTCTTATCTTTATGTCTATACCTGACAGCTCTTAAAGCTTACTCTTACCAACTTCTGTAGGAGTCTTTTGCTGTCTTGTAACCAGTATTGCCTTTGCACAATGGATTTGGGGCACTTATGTTTGCCTGACCAGCTTCCCTTGTTTTCCCACTCCACACCTGGTTAGGCCTCCTGTCCCACAATCACACCAAACCCAATTATTTCCTGTCAAGCTACATCATACCCCTGGAGGCAGTGACTGGCCAGGGTGGGCTCAGTCCAGCAGAAGCCAGCAGAGTATTCCTGCTCCCCAGACAAAGCAGTGCCCTCACTGGAGAGGCCACAGGCTCTTTTAATCTTGTCTATGGAAAACTTGTCTGTGGGTGAAGTCAACAGAGATAAAGTCTATGACAGTACATGACTCCTTGGATCTAGTCCTTGGCTTCCAGTGACATTAATCAATAAATTTCCTCTTTCCAAGTTCAGGTGAATCCCTGTTACTCATTATCAAAAGAGAGCTGCCCTGGATTTATGGAGAAATGTAAACTTCCTGGTGTTGTTAAAGGCTCTCTTTATAAATTCTGTATTATTAATTGGGACTAGCATAGGGTAGAACATATTCCAGATAAACCTAGAAGCCAAGAGAATGCTATACAATACCTGCTGAACACAGGATGCTATCTGCACTGACTTATATATTTGTACCTATAGAATAGTCTTAAGGTATTATCATTATTATTATTATTATTATTATTATTATTATTCGTGGTACTGGAGATTGAACCCAAGGTCCTTACACTGAGCTATATCGCTAGACTTTTAAAGTTTTTCTTCTTAAATTTTGAGACACAATCTTACTAAATTGTCCAGGCTGGGCTTGAACTTACTCTTCCTGCCTTAGCCTCCCAGGGGCATGTGCTAGGATTACAAGTATGTGCCACCACTCAAGGCTTCAAAACATTTGTAATCTTATTATTCTCTTGCCAAAAATCTTTAGTTTTGTGCAGTGGCAGTATCATAGCCAACAAGGTTTGGCCAAGGTGAAATTATTGCTAATTTAAAAAATCTTGGGTGATTCTCTTCCACCTGAAAAGCAACAGCACCTTTGTTGGCCTGGTAACTGTGGTCCACAAATAGCTACAAGGCACTGATCTTCTCCTCCCCACTGTTGCTGGTCTGGGTTCCACACAGAGCCTGGCTCTTCCTGCTTCCTCATCTATGCTCCTGTCACTTCCCCTTCCTCTTCTAGGTGAAACACAACCTTTTCCAAAGCCCTGCTCACCCTTTATCACCTTCACCAAATCCACACCCACTCTTTTAGTCTCCTATATTAGTGTTGGAGAAAAATAATACTTGGTGGGTACCACTAATACTTTGTCTTGGCTAGGTAAGCCAAGACTTTATTTCTTAAGGTAAAAATCATAAAGATGATACAAAGTATATATTAGGCATCAGAAATGTAAAAACTGAATGGGTATAGTGGTGCATGCCTGTAATCTCAGCACTTAGGAGACAGAAGCAGGAGGATCACTGTGAGTTTGAGGCTAGCCTGTGCTATACAGTGAGTTTGAGGCCAGCTCAAACTACATAGTAAAACCCTGTCTGAAAAGAAAGAAATATGGCTAGGGAGATAGCTCGGTGGTCTAAGTGCCTATCTGACAAGTGCAAGGACCTGGATTTGATCCCATACCACTGAAACCAGGTGTGGTGGCACACACCTATAATCCCAGCTCTGGGAAGACTGAGACAGGAGGATCAGTAAAAGTCTGAGCTGCATAGTGAGACCCTATACTAAATAAATTCTAACAACCCTGGAAGGCAGATGATACTATCTCCCATTTAACAGCTGGAAAAACTGAAGACCAGTCGTGAAGAGTTGACAAATTGAGGCTCACAAAGCTGGCATGGCAGGTCAGGGTCATAGACCACTCACTGAGGACAAAGCTCAAGGCAAGTCATACTGTTTCTGAGGAAATGCACTGGCCCTGAGTCTTCATAAAACAGAAAATATTTCTGAATATTTTTGGAAAGATGGGGTTTAGAAAGGAAAGCCCGAGTGGCTTAGGCGAGAAGGAAATGGGACTTGGCCTATAGGCTTGGACTTGGCATCTCAAATGGCTACAGAACCTGGAATTAGCAAACATGGGCACTAATGAGGTCTGATGGATTTAGTGTAAACCACTTTCTTTGCCAGGAGAAGCAATAGGATTGTAAGTTTTACCTAAAGTTACCTTCCTTTGTCTTGTTTCATTATCTTGCTTTTTTTTTTTTTCGGAACCGGGGATTGAACTCAGGATCTTGCACTTGCCAGGGAAGCGCTTATTCCACTGAGCATCTCCCCGGCTCCTTATCTTGCTTCTTAATCTGATCTCGAGCCAGCACAATGAGGCCGAAGTATTTTTCAGGGAGATAGTTCTTCAATTTTAACTATTAGGTTTAATGTATGTGAAATTCAGACTGGAATACATCACAGCAGGAGACACAAAAGAAAAAGGTGATAGAAAAATAAGGACACCTTTGTGGCATGAAGATGACCAGTATTTTAGATGGCAAAGCCTTTAGGGCGGAGGCACTGAATCTGTGATATCTGCCTTCCTTTCTTCTGCAGGCCTGGATGAACCTCTTGCCCAGTAAAGTGTATTTCATGAAGCAGCTCTTCACCATTTTCCTTGGTGCACTGCCATCCTTACAGTCATGAAGTTCAACTACACACTGCATTCAAATGGGGAGGGACCATCCACCTTCAAGCTCAGTCAGGGTCTGAGTCATCCCAGTCTGCCCCCTCTCTGCCTTGGGCAGCAGGGTGAGTTCAACCCATTGACGAATGGAACCCAACACTTCACAACTCACAAACTGGGGTATGTCACAGGAGACAGCCCTCACTCCTCCCAGTGACAAACTGGAGTAGCTCTTGTTCCATGCAAGAGGACAGCTGTTGGCCAGTTATCCATGGTCATGTGTGCGCATGCATGTGAAGTTACTGTGCACAGAAGTGCAAAATAAGTCCATCTGGTATTTTTGTGTAAAGCTTGGTCTTCTCTTGGCTTCCTGTTTCCGTGCAACAAGCATGGTGGCTGGTCACTTTCTGTCCAACTCTCCCAGCAGCTGTGTGCTGCCAGGACAGAGTGTGCAGGGTGGGCCTATGACCTCTGACTTTCCATGTATGCAGCTCAGGGGTAAGTGGACTTGGAGCCTGCTTGATAGAACCCATCTACCTGGATATATTCTTTTTTTTTTTTTTCTTTTTTGGTGGCCTGTAGCCCTGTGCTCAAGCTAGGCTGCTTCTCCGAAGAACACACAGGGCCACCGATCCTTTTTTTTTTTTTTTTTAAGACAGTACAAAATAGTATTAAAACAAAAATTACAAATGATACAGAATTTCACTAAACAAAATAATATGAATTTCACAGTATGTGTTGTATTGCATAGTGTTGTCTTCAAATTAGCTGTTTATATTACCAGATATAAGCCCACTGTACCTAGATACATTCTTGGGTCAGATTTAATGTGTAAAACTACTCATAGTGGTTTTACCGAATGTCTCAGCTGTGTCCTTACTGTTACTCTATGTCCTCTTGTCCCTTAACCTCTAATTATGTCCTTGGAGATTACATATTAAAGTTAAATTTTAAGAGGTAGGTATATGACTGGGATTTGTTTGAGTCTTTATTTTCCTGTTTCTCTCTGCAAGCTGAGTGGCAAATGGGTCACAGGTGTAATCTTTTTTTCCTAAAATTCTAAAGACCAGTAGTTCTTTACTCTTCAAGAATATGGTTGTTAGATAAAAATTGGATTTTGTGATCACACAGATTTTGGAAATCCTGGGTTAAAGGTAGGAGGCTTACTTTTACTTAGTATAATTGTCTTATGTGGTTTAGATGTTTTTTGGCTTATAGTCTAGCTATTAATTTGTATATATGATAATTAATTTTCTAAAGACTTATATAAAAGAACCTGATGCTGGCAAAAAAGGAAGAGTGGAGAGAAGAGGGGGAAAAAAGGAATTGAGACATGTTATGTACATGTACATAATTCCCCACAGTGAAAATAATCATTATGTACTGTAAACATGCATTAGTAAAATAAAAAAAGTTTTCTTAAAGTTAGGAAGCATCTCACCTGTGGGCTTCTCCAAGCACTACAGTTCACTGTGAGGCTCCAAGAAAGGACAGAGAACACTGTATCTTTCAAATTTAACAGGCCACACATGTTAAGAAACAGTGTCCTGAAGTCTGTGCTCCAAAATTTCAAAGGAAGGCTCAAGGCCTCCAAAGAGGAGGGTCCTTCCTAACTCTGGCATCACTTCAGGCTCTTTCCTACTAGTGAACTCCCACTTTGTTGGCAAGCTTCCTAAACATTTATTTTTCTCCCCTTCAAAACACAGGTCAGTTTTAGAAGAAGGGATCGTCTGTGATTATTTAGTTCATCATTTTCTTTTCCAATGCATTACCCATGGGTCTAAGAAAACATGTTATTTGCTGCAAACTTCGGGAAATAGTTCAGAAACTCAACAAGATGGTTTTGGGGATGAACTACATTTGTGGCCCTTGGGAGTGAGGAGTGAGCAGGGCTGCTACAGTCACAGGTACTGTTGGAAGGTTAATGAGCTTCTGCTTTGAGCTCCCCACCCAGCCTGGCCAGGGACAGGTCTTGCTCATGGCTGCTGCTTATGCTACCAGCACAGCCCACTGCCCCAGCCATCTGCAAGGCAGCCACCCACTGCCAAAGGAATCTCTGTGCCCAAGCTCTGCCTTCTGGGCTGCCCACTCTGAGAGGAAGCCTGAGTATGTGCGGAACAATGTCTGTTTTATTTGGGATCAATGTATCCTCAGGCTGAACTCTTATCTAAGCCCATCATAAAATCATGCCCAAGCCAAGAAACTACCATCAACAAGAGAATTTTGTGTGCATCTGTTCTGTTTGTATCAACAGAAATTCAAACCAGTTTTCGTATTTTAAATGATAAAACTTCATTAAAAGGTAGGAGACAGCCGGGGAGATGGCTCAGTGGAATAAGCGCTTCCCTGGCAAGCACAAGGACCTGAGTTCAATCCCCGGTTCTGGAAAAAAAAAAAAAAAAAACCCGGTAGGAGACAAATGTTAAAAGCAATAATTTTTTTTTTTTTTTTTTTTTTTCCCCCGAATGCCTTCAAGGCATGACTGGCTGGCTTGTGTTGTGGGGATGGAACCACAGCAACCTGAGCCTGACTGCTTTGTTGAAGCAGCCACTTAAAGAACTGAGCTAAGGGGCAGGCCCCCAAAAGCAATAATTTTAAGCAAACTATTTCACAACAAACAGAATATAGTTCAAGAAAGAAAAGGACTCGGTTCTCCCTCTCCAAGTTCTCCTAAATAAATAACAACTTTGATGTAAAATCACTCCATATTTGTATTTTGGAGTGCATGGTCCCTTTATTCTTCAAAACAGACTCACTGACTCATTTATTAGCATCCATGGGACAAAGAACTTTCTCTGTATTGATATCCACTGCCTGAACCCTAATTAGGGGCTGAAGAGGAGACCACAGAGAGATAGCTCATGTCCTGTGAGTTAGAGTCATACTCTCTGGTGAACAGCTTTAACTATGTGAGGTGACAAAGCTTGTGGATGCTCTCGTGAGCTGACTTAGTCAGAAACAAAGTCCCCTGAACACATACTGCCTTCTCCTCTACTGGGACTGTGTGCACTCAAGTCCTTCTGCTGGGGCACTCCCTTCCCAGCTGCCTACTGTCAGGTATCACAAGTTACTCTATGAGGTAACTCTCCTTAATTATTGTTGTCTTTTGGCTATCCAAAAAGAGTGTAAACTCAAGAAAGTGGGACAGGGGCTGGGAAGATGGCTCAGTAGAATAAGTGCTTCCCTGGCAAGCACAAGGGCCTGAGTTCAATCCCTGGTTCCGCAAAAAAAAAAAAAAAAAGTGGGACAGTGTTCCTCCATACACTTTGACTGTTCCCAAGTCTGGCTCAAGCGGCTCCTCCTGTGTGTCCACCCCACACCAAGGTGCACTGGCCTTTGACACCATGCACGATACAGTGCCTGGCTGCTATTACTTCACAATTTATTTTTAAGTAAACAAACAATTCCTTTCTCTTTTCTTCAATTCCTCTATCTTCTCTTTTCATTACTAAAGATAAACACACACACACACACACACACACACACGCACACGCACACGCACACACACATTTTTAGGCTATACTTCAAAAAGTATCTGTGATAACCTGTATACAGTACATTCCTATGTGTATAATACACACATAAAATAAAATATATAATACACAGAAAGAATCTTTACAAGAAAGAGAGAACTGAGGAATTGAAAAAAGGTATACTGTTAAATCAAGAAAAGAAATACTGACTTTTGTTTGAAAATTCCAAGCAATTGATAAATTTGAGTGAACTGAATTGTGTCAATTTCCTTTTACCTTTTGCACTATATCTAAGATATCACCTACTCCAAAAACTCAAGATCACCATCTTCAAATTCAATATCAAATTCTCAAGATCACCACTTTCACTCCATGAAAATGGCCACATAAAGTCCAAAACTTCAAGGCAGTCACTTCTGTGGACCAAATACAGTATCTGTGGCAGGAGAGGGAGGAATCAGTCCCTAGACCTTTTCACCTCAGGAAGAACCTCAGTGGTTTCTCGGAGTTTCCTACAACTCCTCACATGGTGCCTCTGTATCCACAGCACTTATTACCCCAAGGGAGTGGACAGTGTGGCCTGAGGAGCCAGGATGCAGACTAGGCTGTCATAGGGTTTGGCCCAAGCCCAGCCTCCTCAGACTACAACAGCAAGACTCTGAGCAAGTCACTCTGATGCTGAGCTTCTTTATGGGAAGATGGGGGTTAATAAAATAAACGACTCAGTGAGCTCTGAGGACCAAATGACATATCACTTGCTCATCACAGTCCTTGGCATGGGTACATGCTCAGTAAATACCAGTGCCCTCCCCCACTTCCTGGTCCCTCTGCTGTGAGTCCAGCTTTGCCATCATTGCCAGGAATTCAGTTTCTGCAGGGAGAGGCACCACACCTTCTCCTCCTTCCTCCACCCTGCTATGGGCTGAGAAGGGTGAAGTGAAAGCAAATGGCCCCTGGCCATTTGGTCCTCTCTCATGACACCCAGTTCAATTCTGTGTCTCCAGTCACACAGAACTACACTTGTCACACAGCAGTGATCCCGCCCCCACCCCACCATCCTGCTCCTCCACTCCCTAACATGCAACAGTTTAATAAAACTGTCAGATGAATTAACTGTCTCCTTTTCTTTACTGCTTCTTAGCAACAGAGTTTGGTGTCAAGTATACATCACTAGATAAGAATTTCCCTAAATTCCAAGTTTATATTTTGGTTGTCATTTTTTCAGTTTGAAACTCTACAAATAGAAAATTGTAGGAGATTTCATCTTTAAGTTCCCAAAGCCAGGTCAGCAGGTCAACAGTAATAAAAATAAATCACAAATCTGTCTATCTGTTTTTGCTCAACAGAAGAAATCTAACTTGACTCAACGTCAGGCTTAACTCTGACTCTGCTGATCTCTGAAGACAATGTTGAAATTAACTTTATCAATGGTTTTATAAAGCAAACGCCCATAACAGTCTTTCCAAATTTGGCCAGAGAGATGTTTCTAGTTTTGAGCTCATTTAATTTTATTGCCTCCATTCATCAGATAAAATGAAGACATTGAGGCCACAGAAGAACTACAGGGATTATAAATCCTGAAAACTTTTCAAACACTCAAAACTTACGCTGCCCTCAGACAGTGAAAAGGATATCTGACGCCCTGGCTTGTCTGCCGGCCTTCGGTGCAGTGGGTGGAAGCGGTTCCTGGCTGGCCTCTCCACCAACCCATGGTGCCGGGTCCCACGGACATTGTCAGTCTGGTGAAATGATGGCTGCAGAATAAAGAGAGAAGAATTGGGTCTCTAACCACAAAACTGCCACTTACTCTCAAGAACAACCACTGGTAACAACAGATGAAAAGACTCAATTTATAATTCTACTATTGTGTACTAGTGTGCCGTGGAGAAATAATATAATTATAATTCTATAATTATAATTTCTATATAATTACAGAATAATTTAAAAATAATCTTTAGTTTACTAAGATGAAAGAATATGCAAAAAAGTTATCACAGAGCTGGGCATAGTGTAGTGCAGTAGGGCAAGTTTGTAATCCTACCACTTTGGTAGGCTGAAGCAGGAGGATTATAAATTCAAGCCTAAAGGCCAGCAATATAGCTCAATGCACTAAGCACTTGCTTAGGTAAGCGCAGGGGCCAGGATTCAATCCCTGGTACTACAGGGTGCGCCGGCCCTGCACCCAGGGCACACAGAACCTGAGATAGAGTCTGGGGGCGGGGGTGGCGCACACCTGTAATCCTAGCACTAGGGAGGCAGAAACAGGAGGATCACTATGAGTCTGAGCTGTGTATTAAGACCCTGCACAAAAACAAAGAAACAAATTCAAGCCCAGCCTGAACAATTTAGAAACCTAGTGAGACTCTGCCTCAAAGTAAAAAAATTAAAAAGGGCTGGGATATGGCTCAGAGCAAAGGCCGAGGGTTCAATCCCTAGTATGACCAAAAAAAAATGTTTTTATCATTAAAATGGAGAATTGGGGGACTATGGATTCATATGCCAACTCCCAAATACTTGAAATATAAAAGAGGTGTGTTTAAAATAGAAAAAACCTGGCAACCTATTCAGTGTATACAGTGTCCTTTAAAAGTTTGAACTGGATTCACAATGTTAAAATTCAGATTTGAGGCTCCTAGAGAAAAAGCAGAATGGTCTGACCATGCTGGCCCACAGTCCAATGCCGCAATGGCTACTCCTAGAGATAGAACTCTCTTGTTTTGCTGTTTTGTTTGGGGTTTTAGTGGTAGGGATTGAAACCCAGGCTGCACACATACTAGGCAAGCACTCTACCACTGAGTTATACCATAGCCCTTTTAAAATTTTTTATTATGAGATAGGGTCTTGCTAAGTTGCCAAGTGAGGCTGGACTCAAATTTGTGATTCTCCTGCCTCAGCCTCTTGAGTAGCTGGGACATAGACATGTGCCACTGTGCCCAGGTTCACTCTCCTGTTTTAATTTTTTCTGAACCAAGGATTGAACTCAGGCCCTTGCGCTTGCCAGGCAAGCACTTATTCTACTGAGCTATCTCCCTGGCCCCATGTTTTTAATATTTTACACCCAGATTACTCTACCAACTCATGATATTAGATATCTGTGTTTGCAACCCAAATGCAAGTGGAAGACATGTAACTCATTGCTTCCCAAAGGTACAAATGGAAATATAAATGCATTCGAGATGGTCAAACAAATCCAAAATCGTTTGTTCAATAGGGCTTGCAGTACATTCTTCACATTTTTGAGACTGAATCATAAAGGGCTGCCTTTATGATTGTCAGAGATGAATTCTAGGTTGGACCATTAAGTATCACATAACTGGGTGATATGTATACAACATTATGTAATAGATGTGTTTATTAAATATACAGAGATACTTTCTCTATCTTTCTGTTTTATTAAGGTATAACTGATAAACATAAAGTTCATTTATTTACAGTGTATGATGTGTTTTTTAAAATTTTATTTCATTTTGAAAAATAAAAACAAAACAAAAAGAAAAGCAATAGCAGAAATAAAAACAGAAACAGAGCAACATACAACAATACACATGTTACAGACTGTCAAATCAAGAATAACAAATTAACAATGGTTGTTATATTACATACTTTTATCATGAAATCTGTTGCTCAGATGATGTGAAGTTTTTTTTTTTTTTAATTTTTATTTAAATGTGTGTGTGTGTGTGTGGCCAGCTCAGCCCACCAGGGGGCGCGGCTGGCTGGCATGTGGTGCTGGGGGATTGAACCGCGGTCCCTGTGCTTTGTTAAACTTGTTCTAAGTAGGTGCTTTAGACCACTGAGCCATCTCACCAGCCCCGTGAAGTTTTGATATACCGATATATTGTGAAATGAACAGATCTAGTGAATTGACATTCTATCTGCACATAAACTTTTTTTAAAAAATGTATTTAGGACAGGGTCTACAGGGTCTCACTATGTAGATCAGACTCAATGCTCCTCCTGTTTTCAGACTTCCCAACTCAGGGATTATAGACATGTGCCACCACATCCAGTCTCAGCAAGCCTGGTACAGCACACCGGGGATGGAACCCTGGCCACTGAACTCTGCCTACGCAGGCACTTTAGTCCACTGAGCTATCTGGCCATCCCTGAACATAAACTTTTTAAAATAAATTTTCTTTTAAGTAAATGGAGTCATATATAAAACAGCTACATTTTTATGACTGAGGATATTTTTACTGAGGAGCTTCCTTTAGCTACAAACTGATCACTAATTTTTTGTTTGTTTTTCTTTTTGAGACAGGGTCTCACTATGCAGTTCAGGCTGGCCTTGAGCTCACTTTGTAGCCCAGAGTGTTTTCAACTCAAAATGATTCTCCTGCCTCAGCCTCCCTACTGCTAGATTACAGGCATGCACCACCATGCCCAGTCCTAATGTTTCTTTGTTAAACATATGTGAATTTTCCGATACTAGATTTAGGAATTACTCTTATTTCACTAGGCCAATTTAGTTTAACGGTTCCAATCTGTTTTTTATAATCCCAATCTATAAACTTGTAAAATAAAGAAACTTTGGCAAGGAACAACTTTTGGGCTGAAAGAAAAAGATCAGTATAACAGGTAAACTTCATCCAGCCTCAGGTAATAGAGCATAGTATATTTAATTTATCACTTTAGAGAGTGATAAATTAAAATACCTAAAAAAATAATGGGACAAAGTGAGGACAAGTGCTTCTGGGACAGAGGTAATAAGAAGCTCACAGTTCTGTTCACTCACACAGTAGGAACTTGTCAGCATCAGACAGTGTTCTACCCTCAGTCAGCTTCAAAATAAATGGCCTGGCCTTTCCTCAGATGTTAGCCATAAAATACCAAAAGCAAAAACAACTCTGGGTAAACAGTCCAGAATAAAGGAGATGAGGGATATAAGGCATATATTGATAACAGTGGCATAGGCAGTAACCCTCAAATAGGGGCTTTATCAGAGATAGTGAACCTTTTTTATTTTATTTTATTTATTTATTTTGTGGAACCAGGGATTGAATTCAGGCCCTTGCACTTGCCAGGCAAGCGCTTATTTTACTGAGCTATTGACTTTGGATGTGGCCCTGTGACAAAGTCCTTGCCTATGTGAGGCTCTGTCCAATCTCCAATATCACAAAAAATAGAAAATAAAATAAAAATCACTACTTCATATTACTTTTAAAATTATTAAAAATTATCCTGTTAAAAAATAAGTACCACATTATTTCCTGGAACAGATACTGCATAATCTTTAGACTTTCTTCCATAAAAAACTTATTCTTTTCGTCCGGGGAGATAGCTCAGCAGCATAAGTGCCTGCCTGTAAGGGCAAGGTCCTGAGTTTGATCCCTGGTACCAAAAAAAAAAAAAAAAGTATTCTTTTATAATTCTAGTTTATAATTTACAATTCTTTCATAATTCTAGTTCTATAAGACACAGACACTAGTAATACTTGAACTGCTTAATTATTATTTTTATTTTTACTTTAGTTTTTTGTGGTACTGGAGATTAAACTCAGGACCTTGTACTTGCCAGGTAGACACTTAAGTCACTGAACTATATCCTCAGCCCTGCTTAATGATTTTTAACTATACTCATGTTTATATTTCAGGAAATAGAGCTTTTTGTTGTTGTTGGTGGAACCGGGGATTGAACTCAGGTCCTTGGGCTTGCCAGGGAAGCACTTATTCCACTGAGCCATCTCCCTGGCCCCAGGAAATATAGCTTTAACATGTCTAAAAATAAACAACTACTATTAATATTAAAATAAATATATGGGAATGCTTTTATTAATCAAAAGGATATCAGAACATATTTTATTATCAGAAACCCGATCATCCAAGATAGAGAAAATTTTAAAAGACCGATGGCTTTGCGCTAAGAAAAAAGGGGTAAAGGGCCAGGGAGATGGCTCAGTGGAATAAGCGCTTCTCTGACAAGCACAGGGCCTGAGTTCAATCCCCGGTTCCTCCAAAAAAAAAAAAAAAAAAAAGAAAAATGAATGTTCTCTGTCAATATAATATATTCACTATAATAATCTTAAATGTCCTTGAAACAGAAGTTTCACTGAAGCATCTTACAAGAAGAGTTACTATCATCAGTTTCAGGAAGCCAGCCTCCAGGAACCCTGGGTGAGGGTCTTCAAAGCAGAGAGCTCCTGAAAAGTCATCTGGACTTCTGAAAATGCCTGCATTTTCTGTTTACAATTGTCTCTTTAGCATTAGCTTCTGCTGGCTCAAATCTCTTATTCCTATTGGAGTCTGGGGGATGGGTTGGGGGGGAGATCTCAATCTCTGTGAACACCTCTGGGTTGGGTATTTTCTCTTCTTCCTCACCATGCCACAGTCTCACTCTGTCCTTGTACTATTTGATCTTAATGCAACCCAAACTATATTTGGCATTAGCCTCCGCAATAACAGGGACCTGTGTTGCTCAACAAATGCTATGGGTTCAACCCCCAGCACCAAAAAATACAATAAATACAAAAAATAAATAACTACAATAATAAATAAATACAAAAAAATGAGGCTCTGTCTGAGTGTGGAGCTTAGGTGAAGCACTTTTGCGGCATGCACAGGTTCTGGGTTAGATCCCTTACAGCATAAAAAAAAGAGTAAAGAAGCCTGTTCAGCAATATACTGGCCTAAGTCTCTGGGTTCCAAAATGTCTACACAGACACATGCTTCCCCCACTCCTACCATCTTTTACTCTGATTTACTGAAAGCTAAAATACTATTATTTAAAAATGTTTTGTTAGCACAGTGGCCGGGGT